TCTTATACCTCCATAATGGAAGGTTCTGGATCCTGTACTATCATGATATTTCTAGATCTATCTACTAAGATCATAATATATTTACAAGGCTTCCATTATGTTTCTGGTTCTTTTTCGATGTCCTAGAAATCTCTAGGATGTTCAACTGTCTTTCGTCCTATTCTACCATACTCCAACGACTTTTGTGAGTCCTCCGAAAAATTATAGAATCACTGTCTGTGATATACCACCAAAGTTATTCTCGTAAAATGTAATAACATTTTATTAATAATAATAATTATTATTAGTTTTTATAATTTTATTTTCTTCAAAATGGTAGTTTTTTTGGTTTTTTCATATTTTATATTTAATTATAATACTAGAAAAAAATATTACCTATGTTTAACTTCTTTTCCTTTGTATCATTCTTTACAATTTGAGGATGTGATCCCGTTTTTGCCTAAACCCAAAAATAAAAAGTTACATGAGAAGAGTGGCGAAGAAGGATAAAGGCTATGCACAAACAGTTATCATAAGAATATTTAACGTGTGAGAGATCGGAGGAGATCACATAATTTAGGTAATAGATTTGGGAAGAATGCAAGATGGTAGACCGAAAATTGGGTAAGGTTTGAATCGCAACAAAAAAAAACTTGCAGGATTTCTAATTATGTTTATTTAAGTAATGAAATCAGTAACCGATTTACTGGTCAGTTACTCGGAAACAAACAAACAACTGATTTTAAGGGTGCTAGTCAATAAATTGAATTGAAATTGAAACTAAGTGATAACATGTTGCAGAAGCATGTTGGCGATTTGGCTATTAAATCGACATGTGGCATAGAAAAACTACTCTTTTATTAAGAAAGATGGATATATTTATTTATCAAAAGAAATACCAAGTTGATTTTTCGCTACGTCTTTTGCAAGCAAATAACATACGTGTCACTAAAATGACATTTTCCGCCGATTTATGTGAAACCATTGTTTTTTCGTTTTTCATATAGTAAAAAAATATTATTTTCTTCAATTATTGCTTCATTTTGCTGTTTTATAAGATTTTTCAGGTTTCTCAAAATCTATTTTCATCCTTTGTACTATCCTGCCGGAGATGTAGCTTTTTTAAATATTAGAAGTCGAAAAATGTCGTTTTGAACCCCCTAAACGATCCCAATTGCCTAGAAAAATATATTAGCTCATGGTTTAGCAATAAGTTTTACTTATATGCTCGTTTTTGATCAACCATTAAAGTTTCGTTAAATTCCAACACCAAAGGCAAGTTCGGTAAAATAGTAAAACTTGCAAAAAATAGGTTTTTTCAAACCAATCATAACCGGTTCATACATGTTTGAAATGGATAGCGTGCCTTCCAGACACGTCAGAGAATCCATAGGCGCTAGTCACATAGCCAGCCAGATGGCCGCATATGTCGTCCCATTTCCGCGTCCAGCCCGCATTGGGTTATCCCTCGATGTCCAGCGTCCCGAACATGCACGAGAAAGTTAACATACGACAAACCGACACATGCTAACTCCAATAAGGGTGCACGCAACACTACCGTGACTAAGCCAATCACAACTTAGATAGGGGACAAAGGTACAATCTTCCAATCAACGCCTATGTCCCGATCGAGGTCTAACACTCTTGTCTCCATGAGCGGGATCCGTGCCCAGATCCTCACTATAAAAGGCTACATGCCTTGAACCGTAAAGGGATCGAATCTAAACATTCAAGCCTTACGCTTAAACACATATTCATCTCTCAGAGACGAACTTGACCGTCAGAGTGTTCTCCTGGGACCTTCTCCCAGGCTGACTGTAACGACCCAAAAATCAAGGGTAAAAATTTCATTTTTCATAACAGTCAAAACACATATATCTTTTAAATCCAAGTTTCCCAAAAACACTGCTAATCAAATCAGTTATTAGAGTTCATCCCAAAATCAAATATTACGGAAAACACGGGTGTGTGTGCTGCGATCAAGCCGAGCCCTTCCTTTCCAAACCGTTGATACCTGAAACCATTAACAAAACTGTAAGCACGAAGCTTAGTGAGTTCCCCAGAGCATACCCCACATAATCCACATAATCACATAAACCTTATCGATCACATAAGCCATATAGGATACATATAAGGATGCCATGGAAACCCTCAAAGGTCTTACACACATAATCGCCTAATCCGTATCAACTACACAAGTCATGCATATAAACAAATAGGGATGCCCTGGAAACCCTCCAGGGTCTTACTCCGGGTGCCCTGGAAACCCTCCAGTGTCTTAGCCCACTGTCACATAAATCATACATACAAACATATAAGGATACCCTGGAAACCCTCCAGGGTCTTACACCGGGTGCCCTGGAAACCCTCCAGGGTCTTAGCCCAATGCCTCGGGAACCCCCCGAGGTCTTGACTAAGGATGCCATGGAAACCCTCCAAAGTCTTATACCCTAGTGCCTCGGGAACCCCCCGAAGTCTTGACTAAGGATGCCATGGAAACCCTCCAAGGTCTTACACCCTAGTGCCTCGGGAACCCCCCGAGGTCTTCCATGCAAGTATCACAAAGACAACTAACATACCACATAATCAACTAGCATACCACATAACACATACTCAACTAGCATACCACATAACAAATAATGGGCCGGCCTTGGTGCCTTAGACCCATTGGTATGGTGAGGAGACTCACCTCGAATGCAGAAGCTTCCTGAAAGAAATCCTTATCTGCTTTCCTGTCCACTTCCTGAGCTATCAATACTGATCAATATACCCAATTAGCAATTGGGTACCATACCATAATCCTTAATCGATGCATGGGGTAAAATGATCATTCTACCCTTGGCCCAGTAAGATCTAAAACTAAGGCCCAAACCCAAAACAAAAGCCCAACACTATAATGTCCATAAATCCATCAATGACCCAAATTTCCAAATTGGGCCCAAACCTCTACATGGGTCTTGCCATGAGGCCCAAATCCTTCTTTTCAGTCTAACACACTCTATATTCTGATGGCCCAATAATAATCCGAACACTTAAGCCCAAAATGCTAAAACACTCGTGACCCAAACCATGGACCAAGTTTCCAAAAAGCCCAACAGCTGGCCCATACCGAAGCCCAATAAGCGAAACCCATTCTGACTGAGTACGCAGGGCGTACTCAGCTGTACGCAGCGCATACTAGGTTCGTGACTTGTACGCTGCGCGTACCATCTTGTACGCCCAGCGTACTCCTCTGTTAAGTCCTTTTTGCTATTAAGCACTTAATGCTTCAAACCAAGGGACCAAATTACAGATCTGAGCTCTACTTAACGTCTTAATCCATAAAGTCACTGACTTGTTGACTTTATATGACCCACATGAACCCAAACTCAAAGTATAGTAATCTACTTCCATGAAAATGATCATAACTCTTGCATGAACCCATTAAGACCTCCAAGATGGCAACTTTCTGCCTTAGGGACTCAGTTAGCACCAAGGATGGCAACCCTAAGCCTAAAAACGGATTTGGAACCATAGAGCTTCATCCTTGGGACCAAAATGAACTAAAACTCACAAATGAGAGATCTAAGATATCAATGGTCAAGTTCAGAGCTTTATACCTTCATCAAGCTGACAATGAGTCACAAAAGCCAGATCCATAAGCTTCTCCTTGATCCCCCATCTTTGCATCAAACTCCACCTTCTTGAAATGGGCCAAACACTCCAAAAATGGACTCCATAAGCTCAAAATGCCACCATGAATGATTAGAGACGAATTCTAGGGTTTTAGAGGGTGGGGGCTGACTTAGAATGAAGACGGAGGCTCAACATTATACTTATATAGGGTACAACTCTAAGATTAGGGTTTTCAATCTGACCCTCGTACGCCCAACGTACCTTCTCGTACGCCCCGCGTACGAGGCCGTGCATCCCGATCCAGTCCTCGCTTATACGCTACGCGTTCCTCCAGCTACGCCTCGCGTAGTTCTTTCTCTTCGGTACGCCCTACGTACCACCTTGGTACGCCCGTGTACTAGGGCTTTTCCCAAAACCCTAATTCTTCCGAAGGCTATAACTTACTCGATACAACTCCGATTCCAACCATTCATATATCCATAGAAAGGTATCGAGACGCTCAACACTATTATCAATTCTTGCCTGCCATAAAATGTCCCAAACCAAGATCCACTCCCCATAAGACCTGAGCTAACAAATTACCGAAATACCCTTTGATCCAAAATCTCAAACTGAATACCCGAGCAATCCAAGGCACCTTATCCAACTCCAACTAGTTCTCAAACCCGACCCCTCAGGTATCCGTAGCTTGATAGCACTTTATCCTTGATCATCAATTCAAAATGGGAACAATTCGAAACAGGATGTTACATTGACGACCTGTTTCTCTTGTTGTGATAACATCTCCTCCAGGATTTTGGTAGAGGACAAGAAGAAACGACATGGAGGCGTAATATCACATCAGAAACCAATCCGATTGTACCTCAACCCAATTTACATTTTTGTTGACCAAAACCGATCCACTTTGGAGAAAAAAATCTGGTTTGTGCACAATGTGTTTTTTTTTTCTTCCAGTTATTCATGTCTAATGGACGAATAGGTTCTCCCAATGAAAACATGTTTGAAGATGTGCAAAACAATCAGGCTAAATGTTTTTCAAGAATATTCTAAATTTCATTAAAAATAAAATTTTATTGTTGAAGTTCCTTTTGTCATTTCAAATAGTCACTCCAAATTTTATTATTTTCATTATTGTCAGATAGTGACTTATTAAATAATTATAAATCTTTAATTAATAATACATTTTTTATCTATATTTATAAAAAAGTTTTAACTTGGTCTCCGTCTCTCCCTCTTCAAACATATATGGTTTCATTTGTCACATTGTGAAAAGATCGTTTATTTTCAAGATTAATTAAACTTGATTAAATTTTCAACATAAACTTTCAAATCAACAACCTTTTTATCAATTGAGATGTATTTTAATATTGGACCATAATAACAAAAATTGACTTTGATAGATTAGATCCATTTTTATAAAAATAAACCCCAAATTTCAACTTACACAAATCACCAAATTTCAACAAGTAAGAAGTTAATAAAACTGTTGTGAAGCATATAGAAAGTGCTATCACCAACACACAATAATCACTAAATCTAGCATACAAAATAAGGTCAAGGTCACAAGGTCAATTTTGCTCGAGACAAGCATCACCACATCACATGTAGCAGTTTCAAAGATAAGTCTTGTCCAGATCATCAAAATATGGATGCTCCATTGCTTTCTTAGCTGATATCCTTTTCGATGGTTCATACTCAAACATTTTAGCAAGAAGATCAAGCCCAACTTCATCAAGATTAGTCACAGATGTTGAAATCATCTTCGGTTTCCATTGGGGATACTCATGCCAATCCTTAAGCTTGCTCACTCCTGGCCACATTTCTTCATTTGGAGTACCCAACAACCTTAACAATCAAGAATCCGTGTTACATGAAATTCAAGAAATGAGAAATGATTATGTGGTTAATGTGTCTATGAACCTGAAAATATGCAGCAACTGTTGAAGCTCAGAATCTCCAGCAAAAATGGCTGTCTTCATGACTAGTTCAGCTACAAATTTGAACAAGATTATCAGTTTTCTGACAGTTTAAAATGGTCATAAACTTGATCTGCTATTTCAAGATTTATTAATTCGTACCAAATATGCAGCCAACAGACCAAATGTCAACAGCTGTTGAATAATGGGTGGCACCCAAAAGGACTTCAGGAGCCCTATACCAAAGGGTCAAAATCTGTAATGATAGAAAGAATTAGATAACTGTTGATTGACTTTATTAAGCAATGTAAATGAGCTTTTTCACAGTTTATATACCTCATGAGTGTACTTCTTGATTGGTAGAGTAAAGGCTCTGGCGAGTCCAAGATCTGCTATTTTGAGCATCAATGTCTTTTTGTCCATCAAAAGATTGTGGGGTTTAAGATCTCTGTGTAGAACCCCATGGGCGTGACAGAAAGCAACACCCTTGCAAAGCTGGTACATCAAGCTCTGTGTTTATTGAGAAAATAGATTTGATGAATATAATACATAGGAGTATGTTTATTGAGAAAATTACAAGATGGAAGATGGAAGATTCGTACCTTGACAACTTGGGGTGGAATGTTTTCACCAGTTTGGCGATATGATCTGATGAATTTCTTCAGATCAGTCTCCATATACTCAAATACCAAGTAGAGAACTGTGTTTCCGGTTTTGTTCACACCTTGCTTCACATCCATCAGCCTGTTTGATGTTGATGATTGAAGTCAGATCCAGAATTTGTGAATACCATTTCAATTTGATTACAATAGATATGGCAATTGTTGCTAGGTAAATCCGCAAATCAAATGAGAAAAAGAACCAACAAGATCAGAGCAGTTTAAACCGTAGAAATTGTATCTAAATTTGATTCTTGTAAAGAAAGCGCAATCCCAAGAAAGTAAAAACCATGGCAAATCACAAACCAGAAAATAGAGCAATAGAAATGTGTTCATCGATAAAACCCTAATAGGACTGTGCTTATTCGTGAAAACGCAGAACAAGAAGTAAATTCATGAAATCCTAGTAAAGTAATTGCAAATTATGAGATAACGATTTCACGTACTTGACGACATGAGGATCACGGGAGAGCATTCTCAATATCGAGATCTCTCGAAGTGTTGTAGGGGGGACTCCTTCATCGTCTTCGTGAAGCCTGGTTTTCTTAAGAGCAACGATTTTTCCTGTGGCTCTGTCTCTCGCTCTGTATACTTTGCCATAAGTTCCTTCTCCAACCTTCTCTAGCTTCTCGAAAGCTTCCATTGCCGTCTTAGTGGACTCCATTTTCTCTCTCAAAAAATTGTCTGAATCAAATATGATTTCAAATGAAGAAGGTGAAGAGAGGTTTTGAATTTATAGAGATGTTGGGGGAACGCTCTCCCGTTGTCTAACGGCAACTGGTTTTCGAATTTCAAATTTGGAATCCTTTCTGTATTTTCATATTTTCCCCTACACTTTCTCTAATCTACAAAACTCGTCCATACCCCTACACTTTCTTTAATATACAAAGCTCGTCCATACCGACAAAGCCAAATGGGGAGTATTTGTATGTGTAATTCAATTAATAATCAGTAGTAGATAATTATTATTTTAATGTTTTAAGCTAAAGTGATCATATCTTTGTCTGTTTGATTATTTGGAGATCAAATAATTAATAATTAAATAATTAATTTAGTAATAACTGTAACAAAAATGATTATATAAGAAGAAAACAAAACTAATATATTAACTCTTTCTAACCATACGGTATAGTTTTTTTCTACATGCATACTATGTAAAGATATTATTGTAATTGATAGAAAAAAAATTCTTCATATTTCAAGTTGAAATAATTCATAAATATACAAGGATACCCATTTTGGTTAGGGAAATCTACGAAAAAGTCCCAAAGTTTTGCCCCAGTTTATGATTTAGTCCCAAATTAAATTTCATTAATGAAAAAGAACGGGTTACCGGCTAATACTCACTTTAGTCCTTTGAACCGGTAAACCTTTGATTAGCCGGTTACCCAAGCTTTAAAATCTCTCTTATGTGTTTCTCCTTCTCCCCCCTCTCTTTCTCTCGTTTTATTTGCAGGTGGGTAACCAAAATTGTGAAGATGAACAAGAATATACCTCTATTTCTCTCGTTTGTTCACCAAGGCCATATGGAGTTCCTTTCATTTGATTTGTAGGTGGGTAACATGTGAGATGGTGGTGTTCTACGGGAGGAGATATGGAGATGGTGGTGTTGTACAAGCTTCTCAACACTGATCTACTCAAATGTGTTGATTGGGTGATTGAAATCAACCCATATATACACTAGATCCTCTTCGTCTTCAAAACAATCCATTATCTTCCTAATGTCTAATTTCCTTTTTTTTTCTGATTCTGATTCATAATTAGGATTTTAGGTTACCCTCCATTAACCTTCCCTGTCACCCATTCCTATAAAACCCCTCCATGGTGTTCTACAAGCTTCTCAACACTGATTTGTTCGAACTTTTTCCCTGGTCAATGGTCCATAAAACGGGGCGGAATTGGAATTCGGAGTTAGTGATGGCGGTGGAGTGGGAGGTGGAAAGGGTTGAAGCAACGGGATTCCAATGTTTCTTTGTACATTGAGGGGTGGTTTAAGGGCAAAAACGGGGACAAAAGAAGAAGGTTGTTTCATCAATGGTGAAGGTGAAGGTGAAGTCGAATGGAATTGGGATGGGGGAAGGGTTGTCACGATATGGTAATGGAATTGGTTTTGAGTTGTGGTAAGTTGGAATGGAATTGAAGAATCCTTAGGTACATCTGTTGACTGGGAGTTAGTCAAACCTGGTTCCAATGGTCCTTCAGTTACAACAGATATAGGTACAACTTCGAGTTCACTAACAAACCTCATCATTTTCTCATAAGCACCTCTAATAGCAGAAACTTCTTGAGGGGGATAAAGAACATCTTTTACAAAACTTCAGTTTATGGGTTCTTGAATAGACCTATGATTGACCTAATAATTTCTTTGATTGTTGAACATCTTTTATAGAAACTGCAATTTGAGTCATGGGTCGACTATGACTGTAATGTTGTTCCATGAATAGACCCATGATACCTAATAATTTCTTTGCTCTATTGTTGTTTTCTGCATATTTAACACATATATTATCAATAGAGATAGAGATAAGAAATGTATTGAATATATGTGTTTGTAGAAGAATGAATGGGAGATTACCACAGGAAGCAACAAATTCTTGCTTCGATCTTACTTCCATGTGAAAAGGTAACCCGAGGGAAGAGGTAACCTGCTGAAAAGGTAAAAAGGGTTAAGGTGATTATATTACCCGGTTTCCTGTCCTTTTTTGTTAATGAAATTTAATTTAGGACTAGATCATTAACTGGCCCAAAACTTTGGGACTTTTTCGCAGATTTCCCTTTTGGTTATTTCATTAATTAGATTTTATCAAACACTCAGAAAACTCATTATTCTATTATTACAACTTCAATTAGCAAAAATGTTGAGTTGTGGAACCTTATTCTTCATTTGACCTCATAGCCGTTAGGTTGAGTTTTTTGGACTTGATCTTATTAGCAAATTTTAGATCAATTGCTCTTAATAGATGCCTTTGAATTCATGTAACCTAAGCTAAACAAAATAGTAATTCGACAATCATTAATAAAATCTTCCGTTCTCTCTTGTTCGTCCGTGGACATATCTTTGATCGCTTTGATCATGTGAACCACGTTAAATATTGTGTTCTTATTTTCCGTTTGCATTATTACTTTATATGTGAAATTATTTATCGTTTGTTAAAGTCGTTAAATCCTAACAAAAAACATATCCATATGCCAGTTTAATTGCTCGTTTTGTTATAACTGATTATCTTATTCTGATTATTTCATATTATATAACGACTTTGAAAACTTACATCCAAACACCCCATAACTCAACTCGGACCAAACTAAACACCTACCTAAATAGTTTCGGTTATTGGTTCCATAATTTTATAGTCCATTCACATCCATCTGGTCTGGAATCAAGATCTAACCTTTTTTCGGTTTTATTTTCAAACTTTGAAATAGTGTCATTTATGTTTATCTAATACCAATACAGATTCAAATTCCGTCAAATCTAATACACTACTCTATAATCTATATACCTTTGCACAACCCGCAAAGACTTCACAAAATGGCAGCATTTCACTACAGAAACACGGTTATTTCTCATTATTCAACCTCCCAATTGATCAAATATCAGGATACTAAAACTCATACGTATGACTCTAATTAAATGTTGCCATTTGAAGGAGATGACATAACAGAAAGAATATCCGTCACAGAAGACATGGCACTCAGAGCAGCTTTCAGAATATCCTGAGAACAACCTGGTTTCACAATGCTTCGTACCTTCATAAATATAATTAAAATCATTAAAAAAAAATACCATATTCCAATTTATAAAATATCATATAAAAGAAATTCAAAAGTACCTTGTCAAGATATACATTCAGTTCCTTTATACGACCCATATAATCCAGGTCCTCAATACACAAGCTTACAGTCCTAGATTCAGCCCCTGGCCCATCATATTGAAGAGGCCCAGGGTTTCTGTACACATCATCCATTAAGAACTTTGTTGCATTTTGTCTAAGCACCCTACACAATCACAATCACGACTTAAACCAATAAGATATAAATGCTTAGTGTTTCTTTTTAACTTAATACAGAAAGAACGACTTAATAGAGAAGTCAGGAATCAGAATCATGATAAAGTGACATACTCGTATACTTTGCCTCTCAAGTCCACAATAGCAGGATGGACAACGGGTCTTCCAATAGTTATGGATCCCGAAGCACTACCATAATCCTTTACAGCCATCATAGCCTACAAATTTCCAAAATATTCAAATACTCACAAATTTATCAATCATTATATACCAAAAAAAAAAAAAAAAAAAAAAAAAAACCAACCGTTATTGGAGCAGCACCACAACGCCACTTGCTTAAAGAATTCTTCAAGTTAGTTACTGTGGCCATATAACCATTCAAACCAGCTGCCAAAATATGGTAACAAATATGTCCAAGAACCTATGTTATATATATATATATATATATATATATATATATATATATATATATATATATATATTGTCCCATGTTAGTTAACAAGCACATTTATCATAGAATATGTAATTTAAACAAAAAAAATATAAAAAGAAAGCATACGTAAGCATAGTCACAGTCGAATTTTGAAGGCAGAGAACCCCGAGCTTGATAGCCCAAAAAGTGGCAGATAGCTGTAAATTTCTTCCCTTTGTATGTTCCTTCTTTCTGTTAACATATTTCATAGATAACTAAATCTTTAATAATCATGATGACATAGAAACCATAAAAAGAATCATGGTTTGTATTGTACCAGTCTTTTGCTCATTTCTGCTTCTACAAGTACAGCAAGAAGCTTTTCTGTTTCAATCTGTGACAATTGTGCTGAGTCATCTGATTCTGGATAAAGAAGAAGCTCTTCTCTAATAAATGGTGGCAAAAAGTGAAATAATGCGGATGCCCAAGGTGACAATTGTGATGATATTTTATCAATGGAAACACCTTGTCGAAGAAATCGATGGATTTCCTGAAACAAAAAGATATGAAATGATATAAACAGATGTACTTAATGAGTTAAACATCATTTATCCATACAGCAATCAATTATTGAGGAAAAAGAAAAAGAAACATCCCCTTAATCACCTTTAACAACCCGTAAACTTCAGGGATGCTTTCTATAAGCCCTTCTGGAAGTAGAACAACACCATGGTATTTTTCTGTTAAAGAAAATTTATTTTAAAAGACAAACCGATGATAATAACTATAAATCTATAATTGAGACACACCCACAACAGACCTTTTTCTGCACGAGCTTGCACAGCATCACATATCTGTTTTGTTAAGTCAAAAATGGTAAGTTTTGAAGCAACAACTTCCTCACCAAGAATAACCTACAAAAAAAAAAAAAGGTTAAAACTATGTAAATATACGTATATAAATGACTCAATATAATAAGAAATGAGGTGTAACAATTACCATGTTAGGATGTGATTGCAGAGTGCATTCCAAGGCAACATGTGAGGCCTTCTGACCCATGAGTCGAACAAAATAATAGTACTGATCAAGGAAGAAAAATCGTTTCTTGATTGCTTAATTTTTGCTAAAAAGTAAGAAAAGAAAATGAAACTTTGTTTTGAAATGTGTGGATTACCTTCTCAGCAGAAAGAGCATCTGTGCACAGGTTGCTAATGAGTTGAGAGTCAACCTAGAATATATAGTCAAGAAATGTCTATAATGATATTATATATCTTTAAAGTCAATTGTAGGATG